CAATTCGAATCAACTAAGTGTAAATACCATCAAATCATCATCAAATTGTTTTGTAAATATTTCATTTTCATCCTTAACCGTGTATGTATATATTGCTCATTTTGTATATATTGTATGTACCACAACCCCAACCCCACCCACTGTGCCCCTCAACTATCACCCCTCCCCTCCCCACTCCCCAACATGTCATCCCCACTACCATCCACATCACTATTTTCAACACCAAACAAGGACTTCCCACAACTCACCCGCCCAAACAGCATTAGTCCAATTCCCATAAATTTTGGCACAGACCTCGAACACTTCCTCCCATCTCAACCTATGGAAACCACCAAATCCCCACCTCCACCACCACAATCCCTATTACACAACCCAACAAAAAACGCCCCCACATCTCACCTGAAGCCTCACAACACTCTAACAAGAAAACATGTGACAAGGATACACCACCCCAACCACTACCCACCAAACACCTACTACTTGCATTCCCCACAAACACCAACACACCACTTAACCAAACATACTCTTCCAACAAATTCTCCCTCTGTCTCAAAAAACAAACTGTCACATACAAATACATCAACTTCGGCGGCAGAGGGTTTAAGGTCACACTTCCAGATGAAACATCACTTAAAAATACACTCTAACACACACTCATCGACGGCAACACAATAAAATGGGAATATCCAAGGTGGCAGACACAAACACAGGGCGTAATACACATAGATAACAGGGAAACACCAGCAGACACACAGGGAAACACCAGCAGACACACAGGAATATATCCACTTTGCCAACAACATCAGCACCCAACCCAAAATCATTGATTATAAAACCATTAACACAAAGCAGCCATCCGCAACAAAGCCAAACACCCAAATCACTTTTCTCACGTTTCAGTCCACTATAGTACCCAACTTCATCACTTTCAGAGCACTCAACTACAAAGTTCATCCACTTCCGCAAAAAACCCAACCAATGCAAAAACTGTTTTCAATACAACCACACAACAGACAATTGCGGAAACGGCTCACTATGACCACGGTGTGGGTCAGTCATGCACGACATCACAGAATGCACACTCGCTACATACTGCATACGCTGCGAAATACATGGACACTAAGCAAATCAAAACACATGCCCCATAAAACAGACACAGATACTTAAACTTAAAGGTCACATGCAACCAAAACGTCAAACATAATTAAAACACAATTATCACTTATTCATGACATATAATATACATTGTTGGTTATAAAAAACCATATAAACAAAATTATACGCGTACAATCGCAAATCAAAAGTGCAATATTGTGTACTTGGGTTTACTTCCCTCGAAACGAAGCAGCCGGGATACCGAACCCAGTCAGAGCGGGTGGGTGTGCACTCAAGTGTAACGGCTGGTTCATTTGCAGATGCCCTCACGGCTCATTGTGAGTGTATATATATAGAGATGTTGGGTTTTGTAAATACATGCTCATTTTTGGTGTATAACATTTTGCAGTCAACAGACATCATAACATGACATGTGTTCAAGTATCACACCTGCCTGTCTGTGTAATTACATAGTGTGACAGAGACCGAACTCGGGCCATAATCAATGCGTTTTGTTTATGGTGTATAGCCTGATTGGTGTTAATTTCAAATTGCATGTGGTCAGTGATCGCAGTTGTGTACTGAATATTGTCATTAGCAGACAGGCAGGCAGACACACAGGTGTCAATAAAACAAGACATTGAGTTTTGTCTGTGACAACGACATATCTATATCACAGTTAGAAATTCTGTCAACGCTAAATAATGACATTGCTTTTAAGTATCGAACTGAGAAAGTGACTCGGTAAGAAGAACGTGTGGTGAAATAGACAAATGAAATTATATAAACAGTTTATTTACTGTCATAGCATATAAAAAGCTCGCGCCTGTGAGATATCAACAAAACATTAGGAAAATAGCTCACACCAAAGCCTTCACCGAGTATTCACCGGACAACCCGCTTCCAAGCTGCGCGAACCTATTTCACTGTGCACGTGCTATGAGCGCAGCCCAGCTGTTGAAACCAGTTTTCCCCCGAAAAGTCGGGGGAAAAATAGTGAATCGTATGAATTCCGATTTCGCGCGGTTTTCTTCATTGCGTTATTTTTCAACTTTATAAGTTGAATTTGCATTTTTGATGATTTGTTTCGGTAAGTCCATACTGAAAGGTATCAGAATCTGCAAAGTTGTGTTTTACGTTGCATGTGACCTTTAACAAGCACCTCAAACACACTGACCTACCCAAACCAGCAGCCTACAACCACAGAATCAACTACTCTCTCCTCTCGCTATCATCCTCTACCCCCTCCAACACCTCCAGCCCCCTACCATCCCCCACTCGCCCCACCAAATCCCATAAATCCCGCCCACCTCCATCCCTACCTCACTCCCAACCCCCTCCCTCCCAAACCAATCAACCCACCCCCAACACCCTAACCCACCCGCCCCAAACCAACCAAACCCAAGCCCAAACCCAATCCCAAATACCCACCCCCAAACTCCCAACCCACTAAAAAACACTACTACCAGCCCCAACCCCATCCCATCCAATCCACACAAAAACACCGCTCCAAATCTGCACCCCCACCCCCAAACCCCCAAACCAACCACTCCCTCCTACATCCTCCATCCCCAGCCCGCATTCACTGCATCTCCAAAACCACGCTCACTCAAACCTAAAAAAACCACTACACCTGCCTCTAAAATAAACCTTACACTCACCCCACAAAAAATCAACCACAACCTCAACCTCATCATCGAATTCATTACAGCAGCAATCCTCATGCAAAACCCAACAGCCAAAAAACTACATAACATCGCACGCAAAAACAAAACTTATCACAAAAGTCTAGCCAGCCTCATCATTGCAGTCAAATCCCTCTCTTAAATAAGTCACCACCAAGCTACTCTAGCAACTAACCTCTCAATCAAAATTACTGCTCCACCCATGACTTTTTCTTCCAAATTGCTGCAGTCATGGCTCTGATGCAATGGAATTGTAACGGCCTTCGAGCAAACGGGCATGAGCTTAAGGCACTCATCACCCAAAACAAAATTTCGCCCCAAATAATTTTCCTACAAGGGACAGAATTATCACCCAAATTCGCCTTTAAAATTCCAGGCTACAGTTACATCAGGAAAGACAGACCTCGGCCAATAAACCTTCCATGACCCCCTGCTGGGGGCCTGGGCATATTTATCTCAAACAAACTAAACTATTCAGAAATTGATATTCCAACCACTAATCTAGAAGTCCTGGCTATCAAAACAACAATTAATAATAAACTACTAACCTTTATAAATGTTTACAGAAGACCCTCCATTAAACTTATATCTCAAGATTTGGACAACATAGCAAGATTCTTAACGCCCAACACCTTTATCCTTGGAGACCTAAACTCTCACCATCCATTATGGGGCACAAAACCCTATACTGATAACAACGGCTTTCTCCTATCAAACTGGCTAGACGACAAAAACCTCATCACCCTAAACGACAACCAACCCACCAGATACCCTCTTTTCCACGTCCAATCACCTACAGCAATCGATCTAACCATCACCACACCTACATTATCAAAATCTTGTCTATGGGAGGTACACTCAGACACCTGGGGCAGTGACCACTGCCCCATCAAAATTACCATATCGACATTACTTGCACCAGAACCACAAACAAACCCTAATATTACCCCCACCCCCAACACAGAAATCAAATACAACTTACACGAAGCAGATTGGAATACATTCACTAAACTATGCAAACAAGTAGACCCATCTAACATTATTAACACCGATACAGAAACTTTTAACACACATCTCACCAACACCATTATTGACATAACAAATAAATGCATACCCACCTCTCGGACAACCCAAGCACAGAAAACAGTCCCATGGTGGAGCCCAGATATTATTAATGCAAGAAAGGCACGAAAAAAGGACCTCAACAAATCAAAGAGGGACCGTTCAAAATTATATTTGGCCAAAAGACTCAGAAACGACACTAAACAACTAATCAAGGCAGTAAAAAAGGAACATTGGAAAATTTTTTGCTCAACCCTGAGGCTAAACCAACACAACTCCAGAAAAACTTTTCGAAACTAGCAGCTCCACCAACTACACAGCACACTTCCAAAACATCATCAAAAACCAACCACCCTACTCACCAGAACCACCCCATTCACACCTACCCATAAACAAAAACACAAATATACACGAACTCAAGGCAGCCCTTAAACATAAAAAACAGCCTCAGCCCCTGGTCCAGACAACATCACATCCACCATACTCAATAAACTACCACCAAACATGCTCAACTTAACACTTACATTATTTAACCAAATCTGGACCACAGGAAAACAGCTAAGGTGGTGCCAATCTTAAAGCCGGGGAAACCCATCAACTCCCAAGATTCATTTCGGCCTATATCACTCACTTCACATCTATGTAAAACACTTGAGTCTATAGTAAATAATAGACTAAAACACCAAATTCTAACCCATAACTTAATTAAGCAGGACCAGAGTGGCTTCACTCCAAATAGACAAACTTTAGATCATATTTTACATTTTGAACATGATATAAAGGTAGCACAAGCACAAAAACAATACACGCTGGCCATTTTTATTGACTTTAGCAAAGCTTTCGACATGATCTGGCACAACGGCCTTATCCAAAACTTACAGGAAAATGCCATACACGGGCGTATTCTAAATTTCATACAGGCATTCCTTAACAATAGACAAATAATCGTCAAATCCCACAACACCATCTCGGACCCTTTTCCACTAGAAAATGGAACCCCCCCAGGGGAGCATAATATCCCCAACATTATTTAACTTCATGATTAACGACATATTTCCGGACAAGTGGCCAGAAATTTCTACTGCTAAATTTGCTGATGACATTTCATTTTGGATATCATCCACTTCAGGAAACCAAGCCACAATCAAAACTCAAAGAATGCTAAACCACATCCAAAACTGGCCCAAAAATGGGGGTTCCATATTAAGGTAAAAAAACCGTGGGCATCTTATTAAAAAAACAAAGAATGCAAAATTATACACCCTAACTACACCTTAATAACCAGGAAATCAAGTTCAAAAAGAGGCAAAATTCCTAGGTGTAACTTTTGACCAACACATGACATGGACACCCCACATTAATAATTTGGTCAACTCATGTCAAAAAAGACTTAAATCTCAAGCGAGCTATCAGTGGTACCAACTGGGGAGCCGACAAACAAACACTTATTAACATATACAAAACTCGTATACAGTCTAGACTGGACTACGCCGCTCCGGTCCTCCACTCCCTCTCCCCATCCAACCTACAAAAACTTAATTCCATACAGTATAAAGCCCTTAAGCAAGCCCTAGGCACTAGGACTGGCACCTCCCACAACACTCTTCTCCTACTTACAGACATCCCTTCAATCAAAACACAAATAAACCAAACTGCACTCAATTACTGGGCTGGGGCCCAACACAACCCAATATACAACTTATTTCAACTAAATACACCAACACTAAAAAATCCACTATCAAAAAATTTAAAAACAACCTAAACAAAGCCCCTCTACTCACTCACCTCAACAATCTGCTTCACTCACAACATCTAAACAACATCCAGCACACACCTCCCATAACAAGCTACATTCATGACAAACCTCCACCCTCTACAGATACTACCCTGGCAGAAACACTTCAAAATCTCCCTAAAAACACCGACATTCACACCAAACCAAACCTCATCCAAACCCACATCAACCTAAATTACCCCCAATCACACCCACATATATACAGACGCATCAATCGGTACAAACAAACGCACAGGCATAGGCATCAACGTACAACAAACATCCCCCTTAACAACAAACCTCCACTATACAAACCACACAACCATTAACACAGCAGAATTAACAGCCATCTTAACTGCACTCCACCTAATCCCCACTATGCACCACACCAACATCTTAATACTCACAGATTCCCTCAGCGCCGTCAAACAACTCCAAAACGAGCACTCGAAATCACGTAACGACCTAATACACAACATTATTATACAGATTCACTCATTACTTCAATTAAATAAAAACATAACATTAATGTTGATACCAGCTCACACCCACAATCAAGGAAATAATACAGCAGACACAGCAGCCAAACTAGCCACCACTCATAACTCTCCAGTCATACAATTCCACACATCCAAAACAGAAATCAAACAACTCATTAAATCTCACACACTCATCCAAAACTACCAACACAACTTCAATACAAACAAATCCATCTGGGTTAAAGCCATCATAACCAAACCTATCACAAAAACCCTCACGTACTGAAACAACAAACACATAGACATACTTATCACTAGACTAATCACCGGCATAACAAACTTAAACCACCCATTATACAAACAAAATAGACACCAAGATGGACTATGCACACAATGCAAACTACCCGAAACAATTGAACATATATTTTCACACTGCCACCTGCAACAAACAAACATCAATCAGTTACATAACTCCATACCAAGCAAATACAAACATACACCTCCTACTCAACCCACACAAGCCACCCAACATTTTCAACGCTATAACCACCTCTCTCACTAACTCCAACCTCATAAGTAAAATTTAGGCCATCCCAAACAAATTCTATATAAACATAACCTAATCAAATTTCTCACCTTACCCACCACTATCTAGAAAAGGGATCCAAATTCTCATTTCCCAGCGCGTCCGTCTTCTCTCTCTCATTTCGATCCGGTCTCCCACACATAGCAAGCACGCTCAACCCTCTCCGCTCACATCCAACACCGCAACCGAAAACATTACATAACACCCCTTCCACCCACCCACTCAAACCAGTCTACTACCGCCACAACCCATACCTAAACCAATATATACAAGCAGCTTTACTACCGTCCACCTCTCCCCATATCCAAACCTTACTCATCTGCCACACCTCTAACTCAGCTAGGCATCAATCGCCCTATAACCACCATACACAGCCGGTGTCTTCTCATGAAGTCACCAGTAGGGGAACACTATTCGCACTAAGTCACTGGCGATTTTGCTTTGAAGTTTCTAATCCAATCAGGATTGACGGATTAGGGATTAACGGATTAGTCAGTTGGTCAGTGGAGCGAAAGACGCTAATGAGCTGAACGGTTAACTGTAAATTACATGACATTTATTAGTGACCTCTGTTCAACAATTTTATGACAAATATAAATAGATGGTACGGACCACTTTCGTCACTAAGTCCTACCATGGCAAATGCAAAAGTTCATCCCAATCCCAATCCGGATTAGTAAATTTAATCTGACTATTATGTCCCGTAATTGCAATAATTGACTATTTAGCGAAATTTACCCAGTAGGGATAAGCGTTTTACCAAGTTGGTGACTTTATGAGAATAAACCGCTATTTCTCCCCCTTCCCAAGCTATCACTAAATCAACACGACATTCCCTAACACAATTAACAATATGTGGAAACTTAATTTGGTCTTGATGCAAGACTCGAGGTCGCTGAACACTTACCCAATGCGGGTATCGGACGACTGACGATTCCCTACCTCGGGTAGGCCTATATAGCCGACATCGGGCCACGTGACTGGGGAAATCCAGATTTCGGCCAATGCGCACGCTCCTTACATCTCTGCCCCTCAAGATGGCAGAGCATGCAAGGAAGCATGACATCGTCATGTCTCCCCGGCCACGAGGTCCGCATGGGCCTAAGCTTCTACATATGTAGACACATGTGACTACAAATGTAGGTACTACGTCAGCCGCCCACCCAACTACCTAACCTACCCCACCCACTATGAAACTTTTGTATTTACTGTACTTTTATACCCCGAGACGCCCACATGTGTCAAGATTCTTCAGAGGCTGAAAGCGGCAGTACATTATACTGTGGTGAGGATATGTCGGGAGGTTGGTGATGACCTGGATGTCTCCATCAACAAGCAAGTGATGGCCTGCATTGCAGAGACAACGTGGAGACAGTTTGCAAGGTAGGTGAGGTGAAATTGGATTTAACGTCGTGCTTGAGAATATTTCGCTCATATGACGACGTGCATGCGTGTGTGTGTATGTGCGGCTGCTTGTACTAGCCCAGACTTAAGCTGGCTTTATAGTGCTAGCCCACTGAGACCATGCCGCAGTGAAGTATGGATACCCCACTCAGACACATTATACTGACTCCAAGCCGACCAGTCCTTGTTGTACCCATTAATGCCGAGCGCCAGGCAGGGACCAACAAGTACCATATTTTAACGTCTTTTGATATGACGCGACCTTCTGCTCTCCGGGCGGACGCTCTAACCACTACACCACGGAGGCGGTCGTTTGCAAGGTAGGGAGAAACAGGATACATTCACTGTGTTTATCAAACTTTTGAGCATATTTTTAAAAAAAGACGATAAGCATCCTTATTGTGATAAATATCTCTGTTGTTGTGGCACGTTCATGTTTGAAAGTATCATTTTCATATGAGAAATAAGGCAGTATAGTTTCAATGAGAAGATGGATAGGGAACCCTGTTCAGAGACCTGACTCCTGACAAAAAGTTTATGGCTATGGTCCAACTTTACACTGAAGCACATTTTAGCTGTGGCGTCTGTTCAGACAAGGGACTCCTGAAATATGCCTTATTTTCGCTCAACAGTGAATGAAGTCTTATAGTCTTTATTCATGTGAATGTAGGCCATCGGCCCATGCAACAACGTTATACATTGGCAGCCTTCAAGCTGCAGCGACGACGATTGTTAGCATAGAAGATGAACATGGCAAGATTTCTTAAAACAAGAGGAGTAGGCTTGGCTATAGCTTTACTCATCAGTCGAGTAAATTTACACAAGGTTGGAGTACCTGACAGTATCAGATGGTAAAATGACCGCCTGTCATTTTGTCCACTAAAACGCAGTGTTGGTTCAATGGTTGTTGTGCGACCCTTGGAGCTGAGAATGAAGGAGCCCTAATTAGGGAAACGCCCAACTTGCTGTGCATACCAGAAATGATATTGAGTTAGAATCCCAGAGTGACTGTAGTTAAATGATCAGGGTTGTCAACACCTTACGTATGGCTATCCTTCTACATAAATGATAAAGCTCTCAAGTCATGATGTAATTGTACTGTTCAAAACAGTGTTACTCACTTACTGAACTCCTGTTACCTTCACTATTCTTCCAGGCATGCCAAGCGCAGCACAGTGTTACCTGAAGACGTAAAGCTCCTTGTGAGGAAAAGTCCAAAATTGGTATGTTATTATCGAAACCACCCTTGAAGATCTGGGTCAGAACGGGTCTTCAGCACGCCAGCTTGTCATAAGAAGCGATTAACTGGATTATTTCATCAGGCTCACTGCCTTGGTTGACATGTGGTGTCATATCCCAAGATCAGTGCTCATGATGTCAATCATTGGATTGTCTGGTCCTGACATGATTATATACTAGACTGCCATTACATAGTTAGAATATTGTTGAGTGCGGTGTTAAGCAACAAATAAAACTACTATTGTAAAAGTTGTTGTCATACCCCATAAATGCAAACCTAAAGCTGAACCCATTTCACACATTTTGTTAATATTCCATCACCAGCAAAACTGACAGCTTTGTATTAATGTGTAGTCCTTGACAGTTAAGTAGGAGGCATTTCCAGTTAACAAGGCCTTCCCCCATGAGTGTGCCAGCCCTAGTCTGTAAAAACTGCTACAGTTGTTGCTGTGATCATTCAGTGTCAGAAAATTTAAAATAGAAATGCATGATTCCAAATACCCTTAATTCACAATTATGTTCAAGAGACCATGTATTACTAATAAGTATTACATTGCAGTAGGCATCAATTCTGGCTGATGTCATGCCATATCAAGCGTACACCAAGCCAATCAAATATTGATCATTGTTTGCATTTCTGTTTGCACCGAAATCAGTCCAAAACAATCAGTAGCATGTTTACTGAACAAGATAACAAGCGATACACAAAACATAATTCATGGAAGACCAAAGGGTGGTTTTTGGCTCTCAGATAAGACAAATTGTCTTGGGGCTGGTTCATACCTCTAGTTACCCAACAAATGTTAGGGTGATGGATAAGACATATGGTTGTGTAGGCTGGTTAATACCTCTCTGTTTGCCAACAAGTGTTAGCCAGTGAAGATCCGGGTTAGAATTGATCTTCAGTAGCCCATGCTTGTTGTAAGAGGCAACTAATGGGATCAGGTGGTCAGACTTGCTGGCTGGGTTGACACATGTCATCATATCCCAGTTGTGTAGATCGATGTTCATGCTGTTGATGTCTGGATTGTCTGGTCCATTTGTTTACAGGCCGCCGCCATATGGCTGGAATATTGCTGAGTGTGGCGTAAAACTATACTCACTCACTCACCAACAAGTGTTAAGGTGTCAGGTGTGTGTTGTCCCCAGCTGGAACACATCAACTCGCTCCACAGACAGCTCACAGCCAACAAGGAGGAGCCCAGCAGGAAGAGGGGAGCCAGGCCGAACAAGAAGAAGTCAGTGGCTGCAGCAGAATCCAACTATGAGACAGATGAGAACTCCAATATGTAGGATTTTAAAAATGCCGATATTTAGAACATTGGTGTTGTCATTTCAGGAGGACTGATGAGAACACAAAACAAGAGTCATCAGAAGATGACATATCCCCCCGGCCCCCACATCTTTGAAAGAACAAATCATCTGACAGTTACTTAAAGTCCAGCTTGATTTTAGACTAAGTGCAAATCGTTTCCATGGAAATCATGAAAAAATAAATGACAAAAATCTGCAAATAGCAAAAGGCACCACTTTGGCATCTGCCTCACATATCTGCCAATTTTGCTGAAAGATATTTAGGAGTTTTCCAGTTGTGTTCCGGAAACGAAACCCATCCCTTCCTTTTTGAGACTAAGTCCGAATCATTTCCATGGAAACCGAGAAAATATAATAAATCACAAATATCTGCAAATAGCAAAAGGCACCACTTCAAGATCTGCCTCACATATCTGCCAAGTTTTGCTGAAAGATATAGAGAGGTTTTTGAGTTGTGCTCCGGAAACGAAGCCCACCCCTCACTTTTGGGATTAAGTCCGAATCGTTTCCATGGAAACCGGGAAAAATAAAAATGCCAAAAATCTGCAAATAGCAAAAGGCACAACTTTAGGATCTGTTTGATATATCTACCATGTTTTGTTGAAAAATATTATACGGTTTTTGAGTTGTGCTCCGGAAACGAAAGCAATCCTTACTTTTTGAGACTAAGTCCAAAATGTTTCCATGGAAACCAAGAAAAATAAAAATGACAAAAATCTGCAAATAGCAAAAGGCACCACTTAAGGTTCTGTTTCATACATCTACCAAGTTTTGTTGAAAAATATTGAACGGTTCTTGAGTTATGCTCCGGAAACGAAGCCCACCCCTCACTTTTGGGACTAAGTCCGAATCGTTTCCATGGAAACCGGGAAAAATAAAAATGCCAAAAATCTGTAAATAGCAAAAGGCACCACTTTAGGATCTGTTTGATATATCTACCAAGTTTTGTTGAAAAATACTGAACGGTTCTTGAGTTATGATCCGGAAACGAAGCCCACCCTTCTTTAAGACTAAGTCCAAAACGTTTCCATGGAAACCGAGAAAAATAAAAATGCCAAAAATCTGCAAATAGCAAAAGGCACCACTTAAGGTTCTGTTCGATATATCTACCAAGTCTTGTTGAAAAATATCGAACGGTCTTTGAGTTATGCTCCGGAAACAAAATGATTACGGACGGACGGACGGACAGACGGACGAGGCGACGACTATATCCCACCGCATTACATGCCGGTGGGATAAAAAGAACTGACGAGGATGCCAATGTGCATGACTAATGAGAACATGCAAGGATGAGAATGTCAGTAACTGGGACTGATTTTGCCAGTGTATAGGATTTACAGGAAACAAACCAATAAGCATTGTTTTTGATACGCATTTCGACTGAAATACTCAACAAGTGGTTGGGCCAAAACAAATTTTGTTTTATCGTTTAGATTGTTATGAGCATCAGGGCTACAGATAAGGGGCGTACAGGCGTAATGTACGCCTCAAAATCAATTAAGTACGACATATTGTAAGATTTCAAGTGTATCGTGTACGCAAATTAATGCCTTCGTACGTCTAGCATTTAATTTCCGTGCGTATCGTACAAATGGAAATCTATTTCGGATAAATAATTTTGCGAAAGACGATTTGACACAAGGAAACCCCGAAAGTAGGAATCCCTTGCGTTGCCATGCAACGATATGCGTCACTATGTTTCGATTGGCTATAAACTACACTGTTCCTATTTATATCCAGTCGGACCTGACATTTCGCGCATCACACAGTTGCTCAGTTATTTCTCACGCGTCTTCAAATACAAATACATGGTTGGAAATAGTGATCGATGAATCGTCCAGACAAACCACATCAACTCGCTCACACAAAAACAGTACTCCTTCAAAATTCTCAGTACACCTCCACTTGCAATATGATGTGTAAGTACACTCACACCCCCAGAAGTTATCTGGAGCCCTGAGCATGAACCTTATAAACTTACCGGTATGTATTTACTAAAACCATGGATAATATGCTGCTGTTCGTCAAAATATTGATATTTATGCTTACCATGACTCCTTTACAATGAAACAAGTTACAATCATTAACTAAAGCTTTGCACAAATACGGGCTGTACACATAACATATCTTAAACCCTATCTATCCTCCTCAGACAGTGTGTGTTTTCTATTGACTCCTAGTTTCAACTGACAGACAGGAGAATTGCATCCAAAACCTTGACCACAACAACACAAATGTACAGGGCAGTGTGGCAATATAGGGGTCTGATGAGAATACTTTTGTGTTGGATTGATAACCCATCACTGTTCACTGCTTAAAGAGACATGGAACAATCCCATTGCACATCTAAAATTGGCAAGTTATGTGCGAAACTGTGTAATCACTGTGAAACAGTTCATGATGTATTTATCTAATTAAGCTATTATTGTCCTCTAGGACACTTTTTCAGATCAGATAAGGTGTTTGTTTTCTTTCTTTTTATACTCTGTACTTAATCGATTTATATTGGCTGTATATTTGCCTGTTAGTAAAACTGCCATGTAAATATGAAGTGACGGCTTTTGTTTCCTGTGCTGTGGTGAGAACATTCGAGTAGTCCATGTAACCTATATTTGCATAAAAGGTGTGCAGTACATCACACCTAGATGCAGTCTTGTCAATCAAAAGTGACGCATGCATCAATTTGAATCAATGAGAAGACCAGAATCGCTTTGTATATTTCTCAAGTCTCAATCTCTCGTGCCACGAATGACAGCAAGGGCGACAGCAATGCTACGGTATCAACACACCAAGAACCACCATCCATGAGCTCTACCACTCTATCTCGCCTACTTTTCTTCAAGAAGCTGCGAAAGTGGTGTTCGACTCTCAAGCTTTGTTCTCTTAACTCTCTTTCGATGGGATCACCACCTCCATCAGCTATGCTCGGTGGTAAAGCCAGAGGTAAGTCAAAACCATTTTGACAATCAGCTTTCAATGGCAAGTGTGAGGAAGCACTGGTAGTCCTGAAGGCGGAAGAGGAAAGGAGGTTTCAGGCACTGGAAAACACTACTCAAAAACTCCTCACTTCGAAGACAGTCTACAGTCTGCACTACAACTTAGTGGCCAGACATATCCCAGGGAAGGCCAACATGCCTGCAGACGCGTTATCACTCCTGGACAAGATTTTGACAACAGAATGGATGCTTCATCCAGGTGCCTTCAGGCAGATAGTGACCGAGTAGGAACAACCACACATAGATCTCTCAACCACCTGTTGCCGACCTGTATAAGACTGGGTTCAGATCCTCACACTTATGTAGTGGATGCCTCATCAACATTTTGGGAGGGAATGAGTGCCTATGTGTTTCCAAAAATGGCTCTGGTCCCACAAGTCCTAGCCAAGACCAGGAACCATCATGACTATGTACCTGGCCACCATGATCATGGTTTCCAGACCTACTGTCTCTACTGATCGATCTACCATTATGTCTTACTCATTGGCCAACACTTAGAAAACCACCAGTCAAACACATTCAATCGCAATTCACAACAGCTCGACCTACACTAATGGAAACTATCCAACGACATCTCTCGTCAGCGGGAGTTTCCTCAGCTATTGCGCAATCACCAAGAGCTTTGACATGTGTTCTCTCCCACTACAACTGAGCGCAATTCTTGCATTTGAGAATCGGGAACTGTAAGTGGATCCATAACCAACCCTTTAGATTGTGGAATTTCTAACAGGCCTTAGAACGACTTGCATTTCAGCTTGAAACTATATGTATGTATCACACAGCACTTGCATCCGTCTTCACCAAGCAAGGAGAACATATTCTTACCAGCCTGTTATGCTCGTTTGAACTGGAGGATATACCAAATCGGCGAATAACTACGAAATAGGATTTGTCAGTGGTTCGAACCCATGGACAAACCAAAACTATTCAATCTTGCTTGAAAGAGTGAATTCCTTATGGCTCTGGCTACAACCTCCAGGGTGTCAGAACTACATGCACTGGATGTCAGATGTATCACAATGAAGAATCCCCCCTGACCACGACTAAAACTATAATTCATGACGTTATCTGGAGTACCATTAACTGGAAGTGATGTCAAATGTTCAGATAATGGATTTGGTTGGTTTGTTGTTTAACCCTGCCATCAGCAATATTCCAGCTATAGGGCAGTTCAGATAGTGGAAGCGTTATCACTTCCAAGCATTAGGTCATAGTCCACCAAGACATGAAATCGAGCAGTAAGAGACATTCCCGAGTGCTGTCACAACTAAATGCAGGTCTATTTCTCTATACTGATGTCCAAAAGAAAGTTTACAACGTTTGCAAACACCCTGATATTCTTGAATACAGTTTGACCTTAGCCGTTCCCCTTCTCGCCTGTACACTCGTGCTCTACCTTCAGCATACATCAGGGAAAACCTGCTTTTATCCGAAAAGAAGACTCGCTGCCAGTTGAACACTTTGTGCCCACGTCAGTCTGTAACGTCGATGTTGCGGCCTCAGAACAATTCCACGATAGGGTCGATAGGCTTGGACACTAGGCCTGTAGATGTCTGTACACTGTCTGCCTGCTGATGCGATGTCCCAGTAACGTCGCTGCCGTAGATGGTGCAGTAGCGAAGCAGTCGAGATGAATGATGTGGTTACGACGGTCTTCGATGGGCGTGGTCACTCGGTGTCGGCCGCTGCGAGAGCTGGCTGACGTCGTACCTGTCTGTCTAAAACTTGCCATTAGTTGTAGACTGTTAAACGCCTGCTTTTGAAGTTTGTAGCAATGGCAGCGTAACTTGCTCGTTGATGGGCAATTCCTATGGCTCGCTCCCCGGAATCCCAGAGTACGTTTCACACAGAGTATCCATGTGAAAATGTATGAAGTCAGGGGAGACAACACCTTCGGAAAATTCTTGGGATAACCACGAGGGAGTAAGACAGCACAACACACGGATGTTTTAATTTTTTTTTATTCAAGCAAAATATCAGAAACACGTTTAAGGAAAATTGGCAATCAAGT